TTTTTTTTTTTTTTTTTTTTTTTTTTTTTTTTTTTTAGAATTTTTTTCCGATTTTGATTTTCTTTGTTGTTTTTTTACTTTTCCTCTTTTGCCTCCTCAGCCGCCTTTCCCCAAGTCGGCGGCGGCCAATTGCGGCGGCGTTCGTGAGATCTTGAAACCATCTGACCGAACTTTTTACACGAATCCAACGCGACCTCCACAACCCGCGCATTTTCGCTCTTTTCACGTGCTTTACTTTGCTGAACTTATCCGCCGTACAGATATCCATTTTGCGCTCGCTCCAGGCCAGGCCCAGCGGCGAAGCCAGTCCGATACGCGCCGGATTTTCTCGCCCGCTGCTGGAGTAGTGTACCGCTAGTCGCAGCCTTCGAGCCGTGAGAAACAGTCGACACCCTAACTCCCCCCAGTACCACTTCGCAACCAGAATCTCGTCGTTGCGCACGCGTATTCCATGCATGAGCGCTTCATTGATTCGTTCTTACTTCTGCCTCTTGTCTGTTCCTGCCTCTAGAGGTCGACAATGGACTCAGATCCAATCGAATCCTCGCCCCTGCAGCCGCCGCGGTACGCAAACATGATGTCGGACGAAGGCGACACAATTGCAACCCAGCCTCTGGACCGGCCATATGTTCCTCACATTCGCACTCCGAACAGCTACATAACTCAGCCCACGCAGCCTGTTCGCACGCCTCCCCAGTCAGCCGTGCAACTGTCGCAAATACAAGTTCCGGCGTCATCCTCGCCACCGACCGGCCCAATGTTCAGAAATCCACCTCAAATGCGACCACAACCTCCGTACCGACCGCAACCAACCTTCTACAACCCCATGATGATGGCTCCTCCCGGGACAGCGCCTCGGTTTCCCGGATTCCTGCCGCAGAACTACAATGCCAGCTCGCAGTCGCAGTCGCAGCCGCAGACCCAGTACTCGGACTTTGGAGATGCTGATGGTCAGGTCTCGGAATCCGATGATGAGCTACATGCCGCCGACATTCCTCCCTCCTTTCGCAATGGCCGAAGTCTCGGTCAGGATCAGTTCAGACAGTCCATTGCCGGTTTTGGATATAACCCGAACGCCCAACAACCTAGTGTAGTGACGAAAGGCAGAAGCACCCCGCATAAACGTGCGCCAGATGACATGATATCGTCCTACGGCAACGTGTCGCGGCCGGCAAAACAGCAACGCACGAACGCGCCTGTGGCTCGCCCACGGCAACCTTCTGTCAGGCGAATCAGGTTTCCTACCATTCACGATATCCCTGACATCTCGCTCCAACAAAAAGTTAGGAACATCCAACTGATCGCTTCTCACAAGTCGATTGACGATATCGTTCGCGCTCTTGAGGTGAAGAAGGGCAACATGGACGATGCTATCGACTGGCTCATGGACGATGAAGCGCAAAAGGCTGCTAGTCAGTTTGTCGATATGACTGGCGGCGACGAAGATGCAGATGGATCAACGGACTCGGATGTGGAGATTGCAAAAAGCTCAAAACCGACGGCTAATCGTAATTTTGAGGCACATAGAGCAGGCATTGGTGCCTATTCGAAGCTTCAGCAACAGCGAAAGCCCCCCACGCAGGCCGTGGATTCTGAATTGAGTCCACCGCGCAAGCCATTAAGTCGATTGAAAACCGGAATTCGGCCCGAGCGGTCACGCTCGACCTCCGCACAACCGGTGGTCGCACCGGCGTCTGCTGTTCGCAAAACGGCCCGCCGCGTTGTTGACGACGACGACGAAGAGAGTGACGCCGACGGGCATGAGACTGACGTCGAGCCTGAATTGCCTGTTATCCAACGTGAGTCTGTTGAGGACAAGGTATTCAAGTTCTTACAGGAGTGCACGAGCAAGGAGCTGGTGTCGATGATTGACTGCAAGCCCGAAGACGCTGAATTTCTTCTTTCCAAACGTCCTTTCAAGACGCTTGATGCTGCCCGACTTGTGAATCGACCTGTTGTACCTGGAAAGCGTAGAGGCGGCACCCAGCGCCCGCTTGGTGATCGTCTTGTTGATCAAATAGTGTCTACAGAGGAGAGTTTGCAGGCGGTGGATCGTGTTGTGGATCGGTGCCAGCAGTATCTGGAAGATGTCCGGCAAAAGATGAACGGACTGGGCATTGACATGTCAAAATCCGTAAAGGACGACGGACTCAACGTTGCGTCCTTCGACGAGGCGGGTAAGGAGTCCCCTAAGGTGGATTCCGGAACGGGAACCCCGACGCCAAACACGAGCGTCAGGATCGAGCAGCCGTCGATAATGAGCAAGAATCGTACGCTCAAGGATTACCAACTGGTTGGCCTCAACTGGCTCGCCGTCATGTACAGCTTGCGAAAAAGATGGGCAAAGCAGAATGGATGCATACTTGCCGACGAGATGGGTTTGGGTAAGACGTACCAGATCATCTCCTTCATATCGCATCTATTCGAGACGGGCGAGCCAGGAAAACATCTTGTCGTCGTACCCTCGTCGACGCTCGAAAATTGGCTGCGTGAATTCCAGCAATTCTCGCCAGAGCTGCATGTGGAGCCGTACTATGGAAAAGCCGCGCAACGAAAAGAACAACAGTACCAGATCGAAGAAGCAGGTGATGCAGTCAAAGTCATTGTCACCACGTATCAAATCGCTGCGAGTGACAAGGATTGCGCGTGGCTGAGGAAGACCAAGTTTACGTCGTGCATCTTCGATGAAGGACACAAACTGAAGAACGCGAAATCGAAGGGCTACCGAGCTCTCAGCAAGATCAGGGCCGGTTTTCGCCTTTTCTTGACTGGCACTCCACTTCAGAACAATCTCCAGGAGCTCATCTCTGTCCTTGCGTTCATCATGCCGACCTTATTCGAGGATGCTGAAGACGATCTACAACTGATTTTCGACTGCAAAGCGAAGACGACGGACTCTGATCACGGTGTCCTGCTAGCTTCCCAGCGCACGAACCGCGCCAAGGAAATGCTTAAGCCGTTTATCCTTCGTCGTACCAAGGATCAGGTGCTCAAGGACCTTCCACCAAAGACCAATCGTCTAGTTTACTGCGACATGACCGAGAGGCAGCGAGAGGTCTACGATGAATACACTCGATACCACGAGGAAGCTCTGGCAGACCGCAGGGCAGGCAAGAAGATTGAAGAGTCTGGCAAATTTCCTCATCTTCAAGACAGGCGATCTGCTGCCATACATCCTCTTCTGCGTCGTAAAATATACCAAAATGAGGACATTAGAAAACTAATCGTCCCGAAAATCGATCGCAAGGGCAGGCCTTGGGGTGGGAAGAGCGACGAGACGATCTTCGAGGAGTTAACCTGGGCCTCGGACTGGGAGCTGCACGAAATCTGCGAAAAGTACAAGATCAAGAAGCCTGGCCCATTGAAGAACAAGGAATGGATGGATTCTGGTAAAGTTACGAAGCTGATTGAGCTACTGCGTGAGCACAAGGCAGCTGGCTCTAGGACGCTTATCTTCAGCCAGTATGCGAAGGTGCTGGACATCTTGGGTAGAGTGCTTGAAACCGAGGACGTAACACATGTTCGACTAGATGGCACGACCCCGACAGAAGACCGGCTCGCGCTGATTGACAAATTCAACGAAGACCCGTCAATACAGGCCTTCATGATCACCACGCGTTCTGGCGGCGCAGGAATAAATCTAGCGACTGCAGATAAGGTCATCATCTTCGATCCTTCCTTCAACCCGCAAGACGATGTTCAAGCTGCCAACCGCGCCCACCGCATTGGCCAGACGAAACCCGTCGAGGTCGTCACGCTCGTCACGAAGGGAACGATCGAAGAGCAGATCTACAAGCTGGGTCTGTCGAAGCTTGCACTCGACCAGCGTGTGGCCGGCGCTGACGACGATGACGGCGATTCCGGGAGCTCAAAGGTCGCGGAGAACAACATGAGGAAGATTGAAGACATGTTGATGAAGGGCCAGACGACGCCTCCGGAAGAAGAGAGCGACGCAGAGCCCGTCGCTGCGGCAAATGACGACCGTGTCAAGAAGTCTGACGAGTCGAAGGAGGATGTCAAGGACGCATTCAAGGGTGCAATGGAGGCTAAAGGCGTGACATTCGCAGAGGAACAGTCGTGAAGACAATAGAGACGACAGCGCATGAGGTCTTTTTTTTTTTTTTTAAAAAAAGATTTTACTGTAAAAGGAAGAAAAACCTCAGTTTGCAAAGCGATGACGGGTCATGATGATGAGTTCGACTTCTGTAGACTTTTGCACAAAGCTTACCGTGGCAGCAAGATAAGCTCGTGGCTTCGAGGAACCTTTCTCTGTGCTGTACCTGTTTTGTTACGGTGTCGCTGTACAGGCCACGCGGACGAGCCAAGATACATAAAATAGAGGGATAATAAAGACGATGACGAAGGACCCTCCGAGAGGGCTGAGGCGTGCGCATAATAAGTAAAAGAGAGACGTTTGCCATGCCAAGACCTTGCTTTACCCCCCTTCAGCGTTCCTGATTTCGATTTGCGCTCTTGACATGCACGCATGTCGCCACGAGTCTGGCAAAGCATCTCGAGTCTCTCGGCCGTTTCGTCGTGCAGGTCCACGTTCAGAGACTGTGCCGGCCCCCGCCCACCTTGACTCTCTCCATTCCTCCCGCCCAGTCCGTTCCTCGTGCTGCGACCGCGCTGCAAGAGCGACGGCAACTCGTCCAAGGTCGCGAAACAATGCCTGGGATCCACGCCTCCGCCCGCGCCTTCCGGGAAGGAGCTCCATGCAACACGCGCGGAGATCTCTCTCGAGTTTGTTCGCGACTCTTCCATGACTGCTCCGTTCGTTGACCCCGTTTGCCCGCCGCCTTCTCAACCCAACCACATAAAGGGGAAAAAAAATTTTCTTCTGTGCTTTTTTGTCTACTCCGAGTGGCACCAATGTGCATCTATCGTATGCTTAAACCAGTCTAAATGTAGTTTTCGGTATGTTCTCCGCTATCTGCAGGCCCAAGGCCGCCCCGTCCATCATCCCGTCGATGTAGCACTCTCCGATGAGTTCGTGGCCGTCATCCATTTCCCGAATCACAACGGGTACACTGCATCCGTACAAGATGCAGATCAGATCGCCCCTTTCTGCACCCTCGGGCGCGAGGCCCAGATAACGTCGATCTGTCCCGCCCTTTGTCTTCAGTCCTGTTCTGATCAGCTTCCTGTTCCACACGACCTCTTGGATGCGCTGGATGAATTCCTTGTCCTTGGAATGGTTGGTATGCTCAAGAAGCTTTACGGTGTTGAAGGTGAAGTTCTCGTTGCTCTCCACGAAAACAGCTTGACAAGAACTCCTATAGGAAAGCGGTGCACGTCCTCCATTCAGATCACGATCTCCAACCAAAGTACGCCAGAGGCTGTCAGGAAGACATTGATCATCTAAATCAGGTTTTTGGTCTCCCTTCGACATCTGCTCTTCCCATTCGTACATATGTGTCTCCTTCGTCTCGATCTTCAAGCTGCCCGGATCCCAACCGGCAAATTCCAGCCACTTGACGGAAATATTGCCACCGACGGCCTCCGATCTAGTCTCGGAGATCTTGGTCAAAACGAACCCGTCGACGTAGAGCTTCATTGGTTGACCTACTTGAGTGATAGGGAATGTCCAAGACGCAGGTAAGCCTAACGAGGCATTGTACGGCTCTTTGCCCGGCGCTCCGACGAGTGGATCTGCATTGACACGCACGTAGCTTGCGACGTTGCGATCCGAGTCAAACGCTGCTCGATCCAGCGTTGCTATCCAGGATGGCACTTTACCGTCAATGTTCCCTGCCAAGACCCTTTTCTTTGGGGCCCAGGGCCGGCAGAGTATTCCTAGCGATTTGCTTGTCCTCAAGACGTGCGTGATGAACTCTCTGTAAGTGAAAAGCACCGGCATGCGATAGTCAACATTGTAAGGAATCAGATCCTGGTTTCTCCGGCTTAAAAAGGTGTCAATTTCACGCTTTGCATCAAGATCCGTGGTCTCAGTCCAGAGGGACGAGTAGTATCCATTCAAGCCACGTTCTGGATTGCTTGAGTGTATCACCACTGGCTTCTCGCGAAGACGTACCTTTCGACGAAACAAGCCCAGGAACTTATTGGCTGCCTTTCGAACCTTTTGAATCTCCTCGCGACTGAGAATTCTCCAATCGCGGAAGTCGTGTGCGAGAGGGACACAGGCGTAGATGGCATCACGGACATCCCAGCTTTTGAAAGAAGCTAACTCGTGTACCAAATTCTCCAAGCTAAGGACGTTTTTCTTCGACTGCTCGGAGATGTTGGCGATTAAGTTGATAAACCGACACGCGCTGAGATTTCGCGCGTCGCCAATGGTGGGCAAATTCTCAAGCGATGCTTGGGTGAATAGACGGGTTATAGCTTGGTCCTGGCCCTCAGCACGTTCGAACATTGTGGCAATGTCGACAAAGTTGGGCCAGTCTATCTTGCCGTCGCCGTAAAGTATCGTTGCTTTACCGGCTATGACAACTTCTAGCGCAACCCAACGTCGTTCAAATAGGGATTGACGAAGCAGATTCAAAATTGCATTCCATTGCGCCACGCGTTCGACATCTCGCACGGCGCGGTCGAAGACGCCTGGATTCACAAGTTCGTTGGCAAAATCAATTGCGGTACGTATGTCACCATTCGTGGAGCCGTCCGGCTCTCCAAGCCAGAGGTAAACGTTTTTCGCCTGGCCAAAGATCCTGCGAATGACGTGGACATGCTCGCTTCTCTCGTCCACACTGCTGTGATCGATGCAGAGCGCGTTGATCCAGAGATACCTCGACTTATCTTCGAAGCGCAGATATTTCAAGGCTGCGTAAAGATTGGGCATTATGAACTTTTTGGGGTTCTCAATGGGAGAAAGAACCGTCAAGGGGATTTGATCCTCAAAGGAACGCAAGTACGACACGGTGTCATACTGGATGTTTGGGTTCCACACACGCAGCTCGCACACGATCTCCTCGTCTTTCGTGCCGCGGTGTAACTCAAGAATGCGAAACTCACCCTTTTTGAGCGGCTCATAGCGAAACTCGGGCCCATCCTGTTCCTTTTGCTCAGGACGGACAGTCGCTGCGTACGTTCCGGTCAGGTCGAGCTTCTGCCGCTTTGAAGAGGTACCTGAATGCTTTGCATGGTCAGCCGCGAGGAGAAACGGCGCCTTTTCCGGCGCCGACATCGTGGTCTGATTCAGGGCAGGTTGACGAGACTCGGCGTGCTTCGTAAGAGGCGCCGTGCACGGAAGGCCCTTGGCCACACACCTGTCGCAGTGAGCAGGCCAGATGCGATCGACGGGTAGACACTTTTTCAAACAGGCACGGGTCAGTAAGGCGGGAGGACACTGCGGAGGTAGGACACTCACCTTTTGCCTTGCCTGTCGACAATAGGAGCATTTCGCAAAGCGAAGGACGCGTCGAGAAGAGTCTGCCGAGGCAGGAATAGTGTCCAGCGAGCACGTGTACTTTAGATTCTCACAACGTTGACACCTTTTCTGATCCTTCACCCACTCACACTGATCATGGTTAGCGGGTTGGCGGGAAAGATGGGCTGGTGGGTGAATAGATACCTTCTGTCGGTCCTGTCGGCAATAAAAGCACTTCTTTTCTTGTTGGTCAGCCGGGACTGCTCGAAAGTTGGCACGGGTTGGCAAGTGCTGGACAGTCGAGCCGGACGCGAGCATGTCAGGGCAGTCGTGCTGGGAAGGGTCCTCCATTGCTGTATGTTGAATAAGTAGGTGAAGCGGATGAGGTCGCGAAGGGCGCGAGGCGGTGCGGTGTGCGTTGAGGCAGTGAAGGTGGCGATGTAAGCGACGACGCGCCGAGCGCAGAACACGCTTTGTTCGTGCGTACAAACACCGCGTCGAAATGGCCAGTGCAGGGCGGACGGCCTGAGCCTGGTGAGTTGCTGCGTGCAAGAAGGATGACTTTGTTTTTGCTGCTCGCCCAGGTCGAAGGTGCTTCGCTATGCCGCGATCTGCGCGTCCGCCCTTCGCAAAGTTTCGTTTGTGACTCACTACGGGGGTTTGCTTGCCAATGCCGCAGCCCCTGGTTTGGCGGGTCGGGCAGCGAATCGCGTTGCGCAACTTGGCTTTCTCTCCGCTCAGGCTTCGCCGGGCGCACTTCGCCTTGGTTCCGTGCTTGGCCAGTCGCCGAATGGGCGCGCTGTTCTGCAATGAGGCATTTATTCGAGCGCAGGCAGCGCCCGCGATCATTGGCCAAGTGGGAGGCTTTGCCTGGATGGCCGCGAGATGCATGGCCAGGTTTCGCTGGCGTGGACGATATCGCACAGCCCCGTGGCACGATCCAAGCCCTCCGCTCCCATAGTCTGCCTTCCCTATAACTGCCGGCGCTGCTCTCTTCGCTACGCCGTGCTTTCGGCCCTTGACATGCTACGAGCTACGAGCAATGTGCGCGACCGCTGTCCGTCCGTCCAGTCCTCGCCGCACAAGCCCATCCCACGGGGACAGTTCCTGTGCTGCTCCTGCTCGTGCTCGTGCTCTGGCTCGCTCTCCGCGCCCGGCTCTTCCACCGTAAGCAGCGTTGCCTGGTCTTGCAGAATTCGCGCGTGCGAGCGTGCGCGGCCTCCCCCTCCTGCCTCACCGTGCGAAAGCCTGCGTGCCCTTCCACCATCGTGTTGGGCCTGGGCGCATTTCGCTCTTCGCTGCACTTCGCGCTGACTCTTCTGCACCGTCCCCCTTCCTTGTCCGTGTGCTCGTCCAATGAACCTCAGGAAACCGTTCCGTCTGTCTCGCCTGCCTTCCTCGCCGCGCTTTTATTGGGCATCACCAGCATTGTGTGCGTTGGCGAGAGGAGAAACAGGGCCAATCACACTTGGCCTCGTGTCCGTGTTGAGCGAGCATGCCGCACCAATGACCACCCTCGTCCTCTGGTCAGGCGGATGTACGTAGAGCGCGATGCCCGCGAAGAACGAGTATATATAAGCGCTCTTCGCCCCGTCTCGACCGCCTTCGTCCTTCAATCTACTTCCTCTCTCAGCCACCTTTAGGACCCTCTGTCAGCTATGCCATAAGAGCTGTGCATTATCACGCGCATCGCTGTATTTTTAATTAGACATTTAAATCAAGAAGCACAAGAAGACTTTCCATCGTACGGCAGAATGTCTTCGTTTTCCAACGGCGCCCTCACGGCCCAAAACTTGGCTGCTTTGGGAAGAGGTACCCAATTTTTCCCTCCCTGGCCGACCCCAACTTTTCTCTTCGGCCCTTTTTTTTTACTCCGCTTCAGTGTCTGACCGCCAGGTTTTTTTTTTCCTCATTTAGATTCTGTACTCCATCGCTTCATCCAACAGCCTGCAAGGGACGACCCGTTCAGCGGCCTTGGCACCTCAGGCCACCACGCCGCCTCCCAAATCTACAGAGCCACTGACGGCTGCAGCTGCTGCGTCGTCGAGGGCGCCGAGGAGATGAGGCGAGAAATTGACGACATCGTCCGCTCGTACGGTGACCGATCCTCGAAGATGTGATGCTCTATGCATCCTCAACTTTAAGGGTTTGCTGGCGTTTGCGGGATCTTTGGCTTCGACATGAATACCCCCTCCTCAACTGGTAGTTTTGCTTTGCACGGCGGAAGCTAGAAATGGGATCGTCACGGTTTGGAAAACAACGGTTGTTTGTTCTGAATACATATGGTTGGTCTGCTGTTTGGGTGAAATAGCTTCAGCATAACGCCTGTTGCACATGACACATCGTCCTGCTGCTTTTCAACTAATGTATTACGCATCTGCTTCTTGAAAATCTTTCTTCGTCGCGTGCAAACATTTCGTGCTGGCCGTCAAATCGCGGGGCGGAACCTGCCTTTTGTGTGGGCGTGCGATGCGCTCGATGCGCTCGATGCGCTCAGGTTTGCCGTGGCAAAAAGGCAGCCGTCGCGGTTCGCGCTCATCGTTTTTTTTTTTTTTTTTTTTTTTCGACCTTTGTCAAGTTGTTTACGGCCGCCACGCCGCTTCTGGAGAAATTTGCACGTGGCTACCAAATCCCTTCCATCCATCATCCATGACGGAGCCTAACACAAAAAAGCGGTGATGAGATCAGCGCGCCGTATTCTAAGTTGCTGCGAAAAATTCGAAAGACTTTTGTTTTTCCTTCTGGTTGAAAGAGCTAGGCATTACAAAGTATTACACATTACGTCTAATGTCGTCGCTGTTTTTGTTTCGTGTACATTGCTCGTCGTCCTTCGCCCTTGTCCGTCCCAGCCACTTGAATCCACCCCCACGTGAGCGAACTCAGCGAGAATCTGAAAGGAAAAAGAGACATTGGCTTTTTTGTTAGCAGGACGATACCAGCAATACCAACGGATCGTGTCCCGGCCCTTAGGACGACGCGAACTTGAACTGCTCAAACAAGGCGGTGCCCGTGTAGTTCTTGCCAGCCACCGTGCCAGACAACGGGCCGATGTACCTGCCGTACGTGGTGCCCGCAACGCCTGGGATCTGGATAGTCTCGACGGTAGCCTGCACCTGAACGGTGCCAATCGTTCCGGTGTTGAAGGTGATGTCGAATCCAGTCGGCACCCCAGAGCTCGGCTGAGGCGGGTAGTCGGCATTGGCACCATAGGGCCGCGCGACGACCGAACCGCTTGCGCAGCTCGACTCAATAACTGTAGAACCCTTGGTGATGTAGCCAGAGGTGTGCTCGACGCCGCTGGTGTCGAGGGCGTCGAACCAGACAATGGAGTACGGACCCAGGCGGCCGTGGCCCCAGTACCACGACTGTACGACATCGGTGAACACAGTGTCGCCCCAGTTCTTGTCGTGGTAGCCATAGCCGTTGAACTGGAGGGCGGAGCCATTGACGGTCATGTTGACGACGGTGTTTGCGTCAGGAACTGCGTTGGCCCAGCCCACGTGGTTGAACAGCTTCTCGTTTGCACCGGCGCATGCAGGTCCGCATGGACCGTGAGCTGGAGACACCTACACGAAGAGCACGTTCGTTAACATTTGGATATCTTTTTTTGTATATATATATATTTTTTTTTGACACCTGTAGCAGCGTCGTCTGCCGATGATCCAAAACTTACCGAGTTGAGGACAAAGGTTCCGTAAATACCGAATTCGTCGTTGTCAACCTCGACCGTGTATTTGGTCATGGTAGAGGACCCCTCGAAGCTGAAACCGGTGTCCTGCCACACGCCAGACGCACCGTTGCCGCTCGTGGTCACCGTGGCGACGGACGTGTTCTTTGCCGGCACGGCATAGATGAAGTAGCTCCCGTCTTCCAAGGTCCCCGCGAACTGGATCGACAGGTACGAGTCGCTACTGGTCGGAAACGTCGTGCCCAACGTCTCGAAAAAGACGATGGTGACCGATTCCTGCGTGGTCGACGACACGGCGTCGAAGTACCACCTTCACCACGGTTAGCCGGAAGTCTTTCTTGTTCAAACGTCTCGGCGGACGCAGATTTGCAACGAACCATTCGTACGAATTCGAGTTGGGGTAAGGGGTTATTTTCTGTCCATCGAATTCGGTGGCTTTGGCAATGTACTCGATGTTCTGTGAACCCGGGTTTGCCGAGTTGGGGATGGTATATGTTTTCGCGCAAACAATGTCAGAGAAGAGCCACGAGGCGGCGCCAACGAGCGACCACAGTTGGTTAAACTGCATCTTGGATTTGGAAGACCTAGCAGTGGTCTATGAACATAAAACGAGTGTGTTGGATCGGAGCGATGGGCAGAGAAAGACGACGTTGATCGGCAAACAAACACAGGTATATGTACTTCTTCGAGCGAGCTCTACATTGTGTGCTAATTCCTGCTTTTGCCTAGAAGAACGCATTCCCAATTTCCGCACCTTGTTTGTTTTGCGCCGGTAGGCCCGATGGAAGCAAGCCGAAGTCTGGGGTGGGGGGTTGGGAAAGTTGTAGGCAGACAAAGCCGAACAAACCATCCGTGCCAACTTGGATTGCGAGTCAGAACTTCTACGATGGTCGTACACCAACCACGGCTAGAACGTCAAAAAAAGACATCGTGTTGATGTGCCGTTTGATCTACCGGAACCGCTTCCCCCCATCATGCAAGTCGCTCGTGATACAGATAAGCGACAGACTTCATTTCATGAGCCTGGACGGTCGAGAAGATGCATCACCAAGGATAAGATTTAAATATAGGAGCGGCCTTTAATTGTTCTGTCAACTTTTCTTTTGTGGTGGCGACGCACGCGATCGACTCAGGCATGGTTTGCTTCGAGATACACGTAAGCGCGCGAGTAGCTTTACAAACTCCGTCGTGGAGGAGGGCAAACGACGGTGCAGGGGGCGCAAAAGATTCTGGATCGACGAGCAACGTTCTGAAAAATCAAGTTGGCTCATTAACAGCCTTGTCTCTCGGGAGGAAGGATTTACACTCATCGAATCGATCTGAAACCTTTGACCTTTTCAGATGCGCAATCTCACAGCTGGTCGGCCGAATAATAGCGGCATGACACAAGGGACGACGGGAGCTGGCAAAAGTACCTACGCTTCTTCAGGAAGCGATGATGTTGGAATGCCATAGGAACGACGTGTGGAGGATATAAGCGAGGCTTGGGTGGGTAGGGTGCAAAAGCCAAGTGCGAGGAAGCCTTGTTGGTGTGAGCCAACTATTCGGTCCGGTCGCCGAAATGCAATGTAAAACCCCGACCACGTGGGCCTATGCCACAAGTCCTTCATCCCTTTACCGTTGCCTCCCTGGGAACAACGCCGAACAGACCAGTCCTTTAGTTTTGTGCACTATGCGCAGACGAGTCTTTGGTGTTGACTCTCCAAACCAGGTGTCGGAAAACTTCTGCTCGGCGTCCCGAAAGTTCTGTTCGTCCGTCACGTTCAGGGATGACTTTCATTCGGCGCGGACCGTTGCAGGCAACGCTCATGAAAGCGCTCACGCCAATTTCCTCATGCACTTCGCCACTATTGACTTGTACATGTACACACCTCGTTTAAGTTCGGCTGTATACACAACCGAGTACCCGTTGGAAGTTCAACTGACGCCGAGGACAATGTACTGGCCTTATCGTGCCCGTACACATCTCTCCGGAACACCCTGACCAAAGCCCTGACTGAACAATCGTTCCATCATAGAAATCTAGAGAAGGGCTTCTAGCGAGGATACTTCTACTGCTGGTGGAGCCTAATTTACGTACCCCAGATTGTGGTTTCGATTTCACTTCCGCCGACGTAGTCCCCGCACTAAACCTTTAGCGCTCACAAGTGGAACGCAGGCTAATAGTCTTCGATTTGGTCTTTTACACGTTAACACATCAACATGTAAAAAGTTTACGTACGATCCAAGACAGCGGGTCAAGCCGCAATTACGGGTTCGGTAGCGATGCGATTGGCAGCCTCTGTGGAGGTCGCAAAATCGCTATAGCTTGCCTTTCCAGACAAGGTGGTATCCAGCTGCTTCGCCATTGCTAGGATAAGCTTGATGCGCCATGACACTGGGACGACGCCACACGGGATCTGAAGAACGCGTGGTCAGTGGTATCTCCTGTAAATAGTGGGGCAGAATGCTCCTACTATGCGAAGAAAAAGAAAAAACCGGTAATATCCTGGCCGCCGGTGATGCGTTCATATTTTCGCCTTTTTACAACAAAAGGAAGTTTTGCCGATAATGTCTCCTAGGTAGAGTCAGGCTGTTCGTCGTTCATGATTGACCTTCATATGATTCCATCATTCAAATAATTTGACTGTGCCATCTACCTGCGAATTCGTAAAAGCGCCGCATCAAAGGATGGAAGTGGCTGCCAAATCCTCCCGCATCCGCCGTTTTTGGACCCCGACGGCACTTCCAAACGGATAGGACTTGATTGCACCCGTGCTTTGGATCACTCTTCGACTGTGCTTGATGTCGTGAATATTCAGCCTGCGGCATACATGGATGGCTACTGCCTTCGCAGCCGGTATCGAGCTCACAGCTAGTGTCCTGCTGGAGAGGGCGTGTCATGATTGTTGCAAACGCGGTGTTCTCAAAATCCTGCAGCTCAATTCGGACTAAGAGCTATTGTGCCTGCGGTTCGGGACTATCCCGCGTATGCCGCATGACTCGTAGGAAACGTGATTTCCACACTAATTTCACGTTATATTGTGCGGAACTCTAACCCATTCAACAACTCATCGCAGCTTACAAATGTAGTGTGGTTCACATTGGCTAGATGGAGTATACTCTGAAGACGTTTTGGAAGATCGAATATCTGGGAACAGAAGAACACTATGAGTCCTAGCGGCCGAACTCGTTTGCTCTACGGTATGGAGTAGACTGAGGGTTTTTTAAAGTCAGATGCACTGGTGAGATCCTGAAGCCTGACAATAACAGGGTTCCATCATATGATTTGGTAGGACTGCTGTGGAAGGAGCGATGGATGGGCGCCTTTGAGATTTAAATGGCACCCAGACAGAGGCCAAAGTATGAAATGCAAGTTCAAAAAGCTTTTCAAGTTGAAGTCAAGGGATGTCATTCTGTACTTCACTCCGTCGTAGAGCATCGTGCTCGGGCTTGATACCAGCCTTGCAGGAGCGGCCGCTCTCGTTACGCGGTGCAGTGTCCCACCACACTACATAAGCCAACGTATCCTGACATACAAGAGTCAGAGACTTCTTTGCAGACACATGATCTGGCGCTCCATATCCGTTTAGCCAGGCCTGAGGACAAGGAACAGGAGCTTCGCTTTCTCGTTGCGACGTCCTCTTCGGTCGCACCAGCAAACATACACTTGACTTTAGCTCGCGTACATCGCCATGCAAGCATAAGTGGCAGTAAATATTGCGCCATCATATTCTATCTCCACCCTTTAGACAAAGGTGTTGCCGCTTTTCCTACACCTCTACATGCATTCAACGACTTTCAGATTCAGCTCATGCAAGCACGTATCAGCACCCCCCTTCTTCCTCTCGCTAACGCGTCTGCACTGCCGAGCATCCTCAGCGCGTTCGAAAAGCCCTTCACCGGAGGCATGCCCTTTCCTTGTTCAAAGCCGATCAGTGCAGCCCTGAACGTTCTCCCTTTTTGCACGACAGATCCACCGATGAGGCAGGAGACGTGGATTGCGTTGACGGATCAGACAACATGCCTAAGGGACGTTGCGGAATTGCGTGATGAGGACGCACAAAGACTCATTGAAGGTGGCGTGAAGGAGGAAGATATTGACGGAATTATCGGCTTCTGGGCTGAGGAGTGGACCTCGGACTGAGTGACATACTCCCATATGCAGCCGATTTGAAGGTTCTGCATATGTTCACATGCGCGACCTTTCCACATATCCTGCAAAGTGATGGACAGCGAAAGCAGGAAAAAAGAAACACTGCTTTGTTTTGGAGGTTCCATGGAAAGTAGCGAACAAGAGGTACCATGTTGAAGCCTTGATGTTTTGCAACGATATGGCAGTCGCTGCAAAATCGATTTAAAGATAGTGATGGTTGATGCAGCATCTTCTAAATCATGTCCTGGGAGAAAATTAATCGCCAGAATGGTAACATACTAGGATTTGCCCTACAATAGCGATTTACTCGCGTGCATATGTGATCTTGCCGCGCTTGGTGCTCTTACTATCCGTGTCGTCATCGTCGGGAGCCTTCTTCTTCTTGTTGCCAGCTACGCTACCTTTGTTGCTCGTCGCCGACGGTGTCGGGTGATTGCTATGATGGAAGCTCGACGCTGGTGTTGCCGCATGCGAAGGCGTTGAATTTGAAGATCTGTCGGGAGAGTCCTGAATGGCAAAATGTGTCAGCACACGAAGTTCCTCTCTCGAACAACATCGTGCTCATCCTTACCCGTTGAAAGCTCGCCGAGCTCCTGCTGAATATCCTATCCGCATCCGTGATACCTCCCTTTCTTCTTGACGCTGTGCCAGCGCCACCGGCAGTTGTGCTTGAAGTGGTGCCCTTGATGTAGTTGTCGAAGCCCTTGATGATGTTGCCTGCCGTCGTCTCTTCCAGGTACTGAGTCTCAAGCCTGTAGATGTTGTCTTCAAGATTCATCTACGCGACCTGGTCAGCCTCAAGCGCAATGCAAATAGAACTCTCGTAAGGAACCCACGATTGACGCGTCCAGCGCCCGCTTTTTCTGCAGCGTCTCCCGCAAGTCGCGCCTCAGCTTCTCATAGTACGGCATGCCTCGTGAAGAGTCGCCCGACGAGGTCGAAGTAGGTGGAGGTGCGTTCTCAGCCATGAGTAGATCTGCCTGTGGGCAATATACTCAGAAATGTATTTCGACTGTTCTTCAAGAGGGATTGCAGCGCACGCAGTGCAGGTGTCTTCTAGACTTGGACGTTCTTCACCAAGGACTCACCAGCCACAATTTGGCATATGCGTAGCGCCACAGTCTCGCGTGCGTGCGGGCGGGCAACCTGGTTTCTGCGGACGTTCAGAAGCTCCGATCGCGACTGACCTTCTGGATCTTTTTGTTTCTTTGGCAACAGCCTCACGGGGAAGGAGCGCACACGACAAACCGCCTCAGTAAGAAGAAACAGCGGCCAACTGCGTGCCTGCTGCGATACAGGAGCCTTCACACAATTCTATCGTTAGCCCGACCGTTCTTCAACGTCCTGATCCTCATCTAGTCCCTCGACCCTCCTAAGCCCGCCAACCTCACGTGCGCGCGCCTTCTCCTCAGTATGGCCATGGACGTCAAGGCAGTTGACGCAAAGCGTAATGACCTGGACAAGGCTATCCGGGACAACGCACCCGCCAGCGCCGTGCTGAAGATTCTGAATGAGCTGAAGGCCGGCATTGTACCCTCGGAAAAATTGCTTCGCGAAACCAAGATCGGCGTATCAGTAAATAGGCTGCGAAATCACAAGGACCCAAACGTGCAGAAGTTGGCCAATGAAACAGTCACCTCGTGGCGAAATGCCATGCGCAAGCAGCAGGCAAGCTCAGGCAGCTCGACGCCAAAACCAAACGGTACGGCGAGTCCCGCGGCGGGAAGCCCGGCCAATGTCAAACAGGAGAAAAAGGCGTACACGGGAGATCCACTGAAGAGGAATGCGGTGGCAGATAAGATCGATTGGAAGGTGACCGGTAGCGCTGTGCGCGATGGCTGCATCAAGCTCATGTATGATGGGTTGGCGCATACTTCTTCAGAACGTACGTTGTACTGTCCATTTCGGCGCGTACTCGTCACTCAGGAACAAAGAAAAAAGAGCTAACTTGCAAAACGCACGCAGCATCTTCAGACATACTCAATAAAGCCCGGGAAGTCGAGCTGGCAGCGTTCTCCAAGTTCCAACCAGAGACCTCGAGCGCGTACCGTGAAAAGATGCGATCCCTCTTCCAGAACCTGAAGAACAAGTCAAATCCGCAGCTGCGTATCAACATCATGTCCGGCTCCATCACTGCTGAGAAGTTCGTCGTCATGACCCACGACGAGCTGAAGTCGGCGGAGCGCAAGGCGGAAGAGGCGAAGCTGGCGAAGGACAACATGGACAAGGCTATGGTTCCGCAGGAGATCAAATCCGTATCAGACGCGCTCAAGTGCGGCAAGTGTGGCCAGAAGCGCGTCAGCTACACGCAGGCGCAGACGAGATCCGCCGATGAACCTATGACGACGTTTTGCGAGTGCCTTAACTGCGGGAACCGCTGGAAATTCTCGTGAGCTGCCGTTGTCTGTTTACCCTTTCACCGTTTCCTTCCCACTGCTGCCTACGCGATCCATCGACGTGCCTCGTGGGAGGGGGTTTTCTTTGGGCAAGAGAGCTTGGACTGGCAAAGCAGGAGTCTTGAGTACGGTGCTTGCGTTTTTTTTTTTTTTTGTTTTTGTGGGGGAGGGCAGAAAATCAAGCCTGCTTCGCGACGTCAAGGGCAGACGGGATTTGAGGAAGGCGGATGCTTAACTACAGCGAGGCGATATTTTCTGATTGTGAAGGGACATGCTGCACTTTGTAACGCGCCTCTGCATACCATAGAACTGGAGCTTCAGGAGTAGGGCGCACGAGTTACAAAAGGCGAGGCCCATGGTGTGAACATCATCCACACACTCTGGTAAAAGAAAATTTTCTTTTTTTTTGGTTCTCATCAAGAACTGTAATTCTAGTGCTTTTGTCAACGCCCTTGGTGGGGTTAGCTTTTGACGCGCATAGAGAATGATAGCAGAGTGCTTCTCGTACAACTCCTACGTATCGTCACATGCGACAAGTCATGGCTATCGACAGGTAAGAAGTGAAATGAACGAAATACGATATCAAGACTAGCATTGATTCTGAGTGATTTGCATTCATCACGATTTTGGATAACCCCACGTTCCCAGGTAACCCTAAAAATTCCAACAGTGTAGAGGGGAAGTGTAAACGAGATCGAACAAAAGGTTCTTCCGTTCAAGTGTTCTTTTTTTGGGGAGAGAGAGAGAGAGAGAGAGAGAGAGAGAGTCAGAGAAAGAAGAACGCCTGATCCTGGCGACTCGAACCAGCTCATATATAGTGGTTGCGCCCTTACATGATATCGATGATAGATGATGTATAGCTGACAACACGGTTTACAATCGATAAAAAAGCAACGCAGAAAAAGAAATTAATGAAGCAGGTCGTCATCAAATTTTTGTGAGCGGGTGGTGGTACAGCCATTTAAGTGTGAATTTGGCCAGAGTCGCGCGAGAATCGCGTGGTCCAGCTCAAGCCACCTACGTGGTTCGCTCGTTGGCTCGTTCTATCTTCTCCTAGTCAAACGCAGAGCACCAGTCTTGAAGAGGAAGAAAAGACAGCCCGTGAAACGAACGACCGACAGTGCAGCTGTGACCCAGAGGAGTGAAGAGAAGAATTTGGCGGTTCTCTTCGTCGCTGTAGCAGACGCCTACGTAGCAACGCGTTAGTCGTGTCATGTTCTTCACTGTGCGTGCTTGTTATTGGCTCAAGAAGAAAATACATACCGGGAAGATGAAGTCAAACGTATCGCTTGTGATAACAATGATGAGGATCAAGTTCGAGAAAATCCAGGTTGCAAGCAACTTCGTTCTGAAGGACTTGTACGCATCGTCCGTGCTCTTCTTGGTGTCTTCAACCTTGATTTCTGGCGGAGCAAGTGCACGCTTGACGACGGCCTCAAATTGAGAATCGATATCAGCCTGCGCGAGATCCACTTCTTCAATGACGGTGTGCTTGCCGTCAGCAGTTTTCTCGGTCTTCGCAGATGGAAGTGCCTCGGCCTTGTCGGAGCCCTTGGTTCCCCAGGAGACATCGTGCCAGTTGGAGAAAGCGTACACGTTGAGAATGTTGGTAAACGACGGCATGAGCAGCAGGTACTGGGCGAACGAGGTGAACATGTGCCATGGATCAAAGTAAAGGAAGGATGCGACGAAGTAGAGACCGAAGGTGGCAACCACGGCAATCAAGATGACGCCGACGCCATCAGAGGCGAAGAACTTGCTGAGATCATCAATGCCTGTTGTGATGGCGTTTCCGCTCAGGGCTCTACCCAGCAGATAGAAGGACAAGATGATGAGGTATAGCTGAACGATGGCAAAGACGCAGAAAGAGACGATGTAAGTGATTCTCGAGCCCTTTGGTCTGTTACCGAGAGCCAGGATGAACTGCAGAATGAGGAAGGCGAGGTACACATCCTTGACGACGGAGTTGACGTGCGGTGAGTAGCGAATACCAAATGGCCAGCCTTTGTTCTTGTTGTCAGCGCTTGGGGCGTTGATGTCGTCGATGGTACCGCCGACCAGGTCCATGATGACAGACGTGGTAAGCCAGAAAGAAGCCAACATAAACCAGGAGAGAACGAGCATAGCAAGATTGTACGTGGCCTGGATGCAGAAGAAGAACTTGCGGATCGGGTTGTGACCGGATTTGAAGAAGCGGCCGAAATGCATCATGGCGTAAATACTGGCAGCAAAGGAACCGTTCAGCCAACGTCTACGTTGCGAGATGAACTCGGGTGCATCTTCCGGTACGTCGGTCTCGGCCTTCGAGGCCTTGACGTACGTCAGATGCCACTTGGAGCCGGCCTTAGCGACCAATTCGAAACAGAGAATGCGGTCTTCGGCCAAGAACATGTTCTTCTTGAAGATGCCCATGCCCTCGATACCCTTCTTGCCAAGAATCTTGGCTAGGGTATGGTCACCGTGGAAATACTGCTCAAGAGGTCGGCCCATGATGGCACGGTATCTGTAAGCAGAGAAAGCACCTGGCAACACGGAAACGTAGCCGAATGAGGATTCGAGCGGCTTGTCCAGAATGTTACTGATCTTGTACTCGAAGTTCTGGGCAGCAACCAGCGGGTTGACCAGGTTTCTCCAGCCACGACCCAACATGGCGTGGATCTCACCACAAGCACCACCTAGGTTCTTGTCGTTGTAGAAAGCCTCCCAAAGCGCAAGCAGAGACTTTGGACCTGGCTTGGTACCGGCATCTAGCAAGATGCAGATCTCCGGGTTCAATATGCGGCCAAAGGCAGTGAAGAGCCATCTGTGCGAGTTGATCTTTTTGCTGTTGCGCTGTTTCAAGCAGAACATCATCTGCACGGGGGGAAGAGTGCTGCTGCTGTCGTCAAGAGGGCGAATGAGCTGCTGATTCGGCGTAACCGAGAGCTGTGTCGTGTACTCGAACTGCGTTCTGTTAGCACGTGAGGGTCCGGCTTTGGCGTCACAAGACATACGATGTGTGCAGTTGTCTCCTTTCCATCGATATCCTTTTTCATGATGCCGTCCTGGTAGACACCGACGGTCGCAAGTAGGTCGAGAGTGCCCTTGTCGCAAGGGTCGATACCGTCAAAGACCAAACAAACGACGATCTTCTGCCACGCAGGACCGCCCTTGTTCCAGAATTCGGACTTCTTCAAGTTCACAATGTCGCGGATGTTCTGCATCACACCGTGCAGAGTACGTGCAGTCAACACCTTGTCTTCGTTGTACGCCGTGATGGCGATGAGAAGCTCCGTGTGTCTGTTGTACATGGCTGGGCGCAGATTGTATCCATTCTTGAGCGTGAAGTCGTTAGGGTCGCAGTTTGCAGCGGTGTCTAGCGTTTGTCGTCATCATCAGCAAAAGGGGTTCAAACATGGCTTTTTCACGTCGAGCTTTTTGAAACCTACATCGCATATGGGTGAACTCCTCGGAGCCAGCTTCGAGGTCGTTGCGGTACTTGGCCTGCACGGCATTTTGGATGGCACTAGGCACGGGATATTCTGCGCTAAGTACGGCACCTTGGGCAAGCTTGATCTTGCGGGTCATGCCGCGTTTGAGAGCGCCAGCGCCGCCGACGCCGCCACCGGGCTGCTGTCTCATCCTCCAGTCCTGCACGGAACTGGTCTCGCTCCTGTCGTAGGGGGAGCCTATTCTTGGCGGAACGTCGTACGCTGAGGGCTCGGAGTAGCCACTCTGGCCATAGTGACCTTGATTGTACGAAGGGTCGGCGTATGTCTCTGTCAAGCTGTATGCTGAGCCGGGTCTGATGTCCGGCGTAGCCTGACGGTCGGGATGTGCGGCGTATTGGTTGCCAAAGGGGCCCTCGCGGGTGCCCGTTGGGTCTGCATGCAGCAGTGACTGACCAGCGGCATCATGTTCATCGTCGTGAAGCTGTCGGCGATCGACGTGTCAGCAATCGTGATGGGTTATGCTTGGCGAGGAAGACTGTGGGTTGAGGGCAAGAAGCTTACGCCGCGTCCTTGAGGGTAGTCGGACATGTTGTGGCCTCCTCCGTAATGGGCCATGATGGAGACCTGTCAAGACAGAACGAGCGGGACAGGTCGGTGTCGGAGAATGGGGGGGCCGGGGAAGGCGATGAGTTCCCAAGAGAGAGCGTAAGGACGAGGGAGAAGCGGATGGTTTAGAGATAATTCTCAAGAAGAAGAGGACGGTGGAGGTGAAGTTGGGAACGGAAACGTAAGAAAGGCGCTCAGCGTGCTTGCTGGGGCGGAGAAATCCAGGGCGGCGCAACGCTTTTGGTTCAAGGCAAGCCTCCTTGCGCTAATGTAGCGTTCTGGGGGAGCCAAGCAAAAGCGACGTTTCGATGGCAGAGATGACGCTGTTTCACGTTCCCGGCGGGCCAGCGAGTGGATGTTTCGCACTGGATGTCAAGGACGGGAGCACGCGCAAGGGAGAAGAGGCCGATCTTCACGGCGCCGTGGACAGCTGTGGTGGTGTGCTTGCTTCACGCCGCGGGCCTCCTTTATGAGCCGCACAACACGCACGCCACGGCTTGAGTGCAGCACGCCGGCCGGTTCTCTGCTCGTGTTGGCGACGATCTGAGCCACGCAACACAATGGCGAGGATGCGGATGATGCTGATGATGACGGTCGCCCTGCGCAGCACGCGAACGACGCCCACCACCGCTCCTGCGCTGTGTGCTCTTGTTGGCGCAGGCAAACCAGTCGACGGCACCGCAGCCGCTGCTATTTTGGGCCGCTCCCTGCATCCCGACTAACCACCAACGCGACGAGGCTGTGCTGCGGCCACTCATGCAGGCCAAAAAACATTGGGAGCAGAAAGGAACAGAGAGAGGCGAGAAAAAGAAAGCAAAATCGAACGCCGTGCCGCTAGCGCGTCTGTCAGGCCTTGGTCCTTTGCTCTCGTTGCCCTCCAAGACCGTCTTTGTTGGGCCCAGCGCACTCGCCCGGCCATCTCTCACCTGCACCCAGGCCGCTGCGTCGCTCCCCTTTTCACTGCCAGCATCATCCGAGAGCATACGAGTCCATGTGCACGGGCACGGAGTCCATCTGATGGATCTGATCAATCTGCCAGGCCTCGCGGCGCCCCTTCTCCTATCCACGCAACCACTGGAGCCGCTAGCGACGAAGGCTGAGGGTGCCCGTCCTGTGGAGCACACTAATCTGCTCGGCCCACGCTGACACTCGGATGGCGGCGCACACGAAAATATCGTCTGGACAGACTGTACAACCAGCGCGGCCGTACACTTGCTGCATCGTTGACGCTTGAGTTTGTCTGCTCGTTCGACTTCCAGCAACCAGCACGCCATCCTTCTCGCTGTCCACCCTCGCCCTTTTCCACCCGTCTCCTCTCCGTTCCTTCATTCCGCCCAAGCACCACCCATCCATCCATGACTCGGGATGCGGCCGTGAAGGACCAGCGTACCCATCTCGTGGTCTTGTGCTGCCATGCTGTATATCACGGCACCCATGGCCGTGACCCGCGCAAGGAGGAGAACTGGGCCCTGAAGCCCTTCCAGCGAGGGACAGACACAAAGGCCGGTGAGCACGAGACGTTCTTGCAACATGCCTTCGCCGCCGTGCAGCTGCGCAACGAGCGCTCCCTTGTCGTCTTCTCTGGCGGGCCTACCGACGACGCCTATCCGGACCTGAGCGAGGCCAGAAGCTACCTCAATGCCTTCGAGCACTGGGCCGATGCAATCGGCTACGCTCCCTCCAGGGACGTTCTTGACGGTATCGCGCTCGAGGAGGCGGCGACAGACAGCTACCAGAACGTGCTCTTTTCCATCCTGGTGTTTCGGCGGCGAACGGGGCACTACCCCACGAGCATGACCATCATTACGCACGCTTTCAAGAACGACCGTTTCCTCCGTCTGCACGCGAAAGCCCTCAAGTGGCCGGCAGATCGGGTGAAAGTGCTGGGCATCAACCCTCCGTTCACCAGTACGTGGCGAATTCACTCCCTGCTCCCTGTCTGCTTTCCTTTTCTCGAAAGAAATCGTCTTCTTCCTGTCCTCTTTGTGAGACTTTTTTTTCGCCGCTTTGAATGCATGAAAATTTATTGAGATCGCCCCCTTCCCTCCATCCCCGGTCGCGGCTGTGAGTGCTAAGCTTCCATGCGACCGCATGCGCGATCGGCGTTATCCCGGGCCGTTGCATGGGCTAGAAACCAGCCTCCGTATGCACTCAGTCGTCACCCTGTCACAAGCACGTCAAGTTTGCAAAGATGATATTTTTCAACATCATAGTCCGTTCATCCTTTCTTTCCCAATGCGCTTTTCGTGACTTCCAGCAGGAGGCCTTGATGATCTCTTAATTGTACTGATCACTGCGCAGTCGCCGAGCTCGAGTCGACGGAAGCTGGTGAGAAACGAAACGGATTCGGACCCTGGGAAACGGACTTGTACGGCACCGCATCTGTGCTTTCGAGCAAGCGTAAGGCGAGGGGATGGAAGGAGGGAAAGAATTCAGAGCTGGCAGAGGGCCTAGAGCCGGTCGTTCAACGATTGTTACTCTACCAAGGCCGGGAGCAAGTGTTCCCCGAGACTCTTCCTTGGGAGTAAAACCACCAATCACGTGAACATGGACAGCTACAACCATCGCAGAATGATGTGACGTCGTCTAACGTGTTTAAGCCTTGTCATTAGGCCCCAGAGAGATGATGTGCTCCGCTGCTATGAAGCACGCCTTTGTTTTCGGTAACGCCAGTCAAAGCCCGCTTGCCTCCCAGCAAGGGTTCAACACGTACAGTATAGGTGAGACTCTACAGCTAAAATTGCTCGATCAATCGCATCTTAGCATCCAATTCTCTTCCAAGATAATCTACATCACGCACCTGGGCCAAATTTTTCGTTCAAAAATTGCATCACTTGATCGTTGCCACCGCCCAACCACTGACCAAGGCTGCGGACTTTCAGCCCGTCCAAGGAACGAGCTCTCGAGAGCGCAACGTACATCTGGCCCTCCTCAAAGGCCTTCCCAAGGTCTACCTCCACTTTCATGAGCGTCATACCCTGAGCCTTGTGGACCGTCATAGCCCATCCGGCTAGCAGAGGAATCTGGGTTCTGGACATGATCGTGTACGGTTCGGTGTCGCCCAACTCTGACACTATACATTCTGCGTAGATAGTCCGCTCCACCCCATTTTCAAAGCGAACTACGGGCCACTCCTTGACTTGCGCAGCATCTATAAAAGCTTGGATGTGCGCCTCGCGGTACGCGGCGTGTTCGCCCATGATCGCATTCATCGGAGTCGACATGATTCGCGACCTGTCAGCCTTTGGCAGCTTGGTCTCGTCGTAAGGTTCCCAACCGATGACAATACCCTGGGATCCATTCACCAGCCCGGCATCGATGTTGAGATTGACCTGCAACACGACCCGCATGCCCTCCCTTAGTTCCACATGGGTCTCAAATTTTTGTTCCTTCAACGCAGCAAGGCTTCCATCTGGGAGCCTCGTTGCTTTGAATTTCAGGTGGGGATGTGCCTCTCGAACCTGGATATCGTCATAACACTTGAACGCCCTTGGCTCCGTTTGCAACTTGCTGTACTCCTTGTAATTTAACTGTCGAACTTCCTCACGAGTGGAGAACAGTCGGACGGCTTGGCCGACCTCGCTGGGGTGATTCAGAAGCAAATCTCTCTCACACTGCTTTAGCTGCCTGCCCATGCGGCACCGTTCAAGAATGTCGATAAACTTGCGGTCCTTTTGTCGATGGATTGTTGTTAGGTTGACGTGGGCGAAATTGCATTCCGTCCAGGCGCGACTCTTGAAGGCCCATTTGTCATTCTCTAGATAGTCTCCGTGCTTCGGACATGTGAAAACAGTTCCACCGTCTCGTTCTCGAGTGTCCTGTCCACATTCAATACAATTTCTAAAAGGCTAGAGCACCTGTGTCAGCAGCTTGATGATGAATGAATATCTCGTCGCGAACCTTGACTGGAGGCAGTTGACAAAAATCTCCCGTCACGACCATCTGAACGCCTCCGAAAGCCTTATCTGAGCCTCGAGCTTCTTTCATGACTTCGTTGAGCCGCTCAAACGCATGGTTTTCCATCATCGATATCTCGTCAATGACCAGAACGTCAACGGCACGCATACGTTTGTTGACAAATTTTTGATGTGCACCCTCCCTTAACTTCTTCAGCGGCTTTTTAAAATGATCTGGTGTCCAACCAGCGAATGTGAAGTATGTCGAGCCGTTGATTTCGAGAGCAGCCTTGCCTGTTGGTGCCACTATGACCACATTTCGTCCGATTTCCTTAAGCTCCTTGACAAACGCTTTCAAAACAGTAGACTTACCGCAACCTGCAGAACCCGTGTAGAATACATTTCTGCCAGAGAGTATAAGATTGACTAGATCTCGCTGCTCCTGGCATAGTTCAGGCTCGGTTTTGACCTCACCTCCCATCTGCGCGGGCGAAACATGGATCGAAGCTTTTGCTAGAGTTGCAGATGCAAAGGCGCTGCTTGACTCGGCCGGCGTATTGGGGGAACGATATAAGTTGCTACCAGTGTCACGTATCATCTCGTCCCGTATCTTGATTACTGCTTGTGGAGCAGGCCTTGCTCCCCGCACGAATATGTTCTGCTGCTTTGATTCCATGCGGCTCTCATACTTTTCAATAAATGAATTAGAATGCCGTGCAGTTCGCACTCGTTCGTGGCTATTGATGAAGTCTTCTGCTTCCTCATGAGTCCGGAAGCTCTTGTATACCGCGCCGCTGTAGCCTCTGATTTGCTGTTCTGCACTGGGCCAGTCCGTATAAATACCCGAATTGCGCCCCTCAGCCACAGCATAGTACTTCATTTTCGACTTATTGGCGTGAGTTGCTCGTCGAAAAGAAATTGAGGGATCATCATCAAAAACTTCTTCACTAATGGCGTCTAGCGCAGAGAGACCATCCTGTGGAGTGTGTTGCCTCCTCGTGTACGTCGATTCCGGGATAACGGCACCAGAATCGACTCGCCTAGGAACAGGGCCGAGTTTTCTGCTCAGTTGCTCTGGAGAGGACGATGACAGGTCTGCGGTGAGATCAATGGCGAGGGGTGCAACTCCCTGTTTCTTTACCGGCAGTGATGCAGTTGAATAGTCCCAACCTGGCTCGTCATCGCATGCGGATCTTTTTCTCTTTGACTTCATAGTAGGGAGTGGTTCGTAGCAAATCAAAGGCCAAAGCTGAAAATCCCAAAAGTTAAACCGAGAGACATCTTTTGACGCGTCCGGCGCGTCTCAGATGAGGGAGGATCGCGGCGTCTCGTGGGGAGGAGCGAAGCGGGTGATCACGTGGGAGGCTCGATCGTTCCCCCTTTTTTTCTTATCTCAGCAGGCTCAGACGCTTCGCTGGGGCGTTTTTGTGGCTGACGCTAAACTATTTTGAACTTCTGCCAAGTCCTCTAAATTCCTGGACCAATCACAGCGCGCCAAACCCTAAAACCCCTTCAGCGAAGCGTCTGAGTGCAAATGGTCGCAGTTTGTTAGTACTCGCAACTTCAA